TCCGCATTCTACAAATAATTAATTAGCACTCGTTAAGTATGTGCCAAAGAGACAAAGACAAGGTACAGTCCTCACGTTTAAGGAGCTTTCATTATAGCACACAGTCAAATTTCTCTTTGTCCTTCCACAATACCTAGTAGAAGTCTTGCACATAGACGTCCAAAATTAATTCACTCAGCAAATTGTTATTGTGTGCCCAGTATGTGCCAATAGTGGTTGACATGATGTTACACCATCAGCTGGTTAAAGGTGCTTCTTGGGAATTGCAAATATGTCCATCCTTTTCCTTAGTTACTACAAATTGAAATCAGAAGTTGCCTTGCATTTTTCCAGCATGTAAATATATAACGCTTTCTTAATTAGAGGAAGGGATTAAATTCATTGAGTGGCAGAACTCAAATGGCAATGCAATTTGTTTTTCATAAGGAAAATTGTTCTGCATTGAGGTCTTATTTTTTTTTATTAACTAAAATTTCTAAGTCATGTTTCTTAAGGAATCTTTTGATCTTAATTTTAGTGTGTCTTACAGATATTACAGTAATAGTAAATCAAATAAAATTTTAAAGCAAGGAGAATTAGCCTTTAATTGAACCAACTTTTTGTTTTATATCTTTGTTTCAAATGATTTGGTGTTTTAGACCAGTGGTCCACAAGTAAAAGTCATTTGCCATCCCCACCCCAGGACATTTGGCAATGAATGTTAGGAGACATTCTTGATTATCACAACTGACTGAGGAATTACAGGCTGGCTACTGGCATCGAGTGGATAGAGACCAAGGGTGCTGCCAACATTCCTTCAATGCACAGGACATCCCCCTATAACAAAGAATTGCCCAGATTGAGAAATCTTAGATAGTATATTTTGTAGTGAATAGTGAAAAGCATATGAACATTATACATAACATGTAATCCCAAAATATAAGAGATTAAAATAGGTATTTTTCCTTTTTTAGTTTTGTTTTTCTTTAATTTTTATTAAGTGTGTTGGGGTGTCATTGGTTAATAGGATCATATAGGTGTCAAGTGTACATTTCTGTGATACAAGGTCTGTATATATTGCACAGTCTGCCAACTACCTGCAGTCAAACCATCTCCCGTCACCATATATTGGGCTTGAATACTGTCTATGTGCCACAAGATACAGGTTCCAGATGGTCTGAAGGCATAAGGCCCCAGTTCTCAAAGAGATCACAGTCTAAAATTAAAGATAATATATACTTTGTAAATTAAAAAGTTACAAAATAATATGCTAAGTTTATTATAGAGCTAAGCAGTATATATCTTCACTCTGGCGAGTCAGAGAAGGCTTGACAGAGGAGGTGGCACTTGAGCAGTTTATAGAAGTTCTTGTCAAACTCGAACACTCACTCAGGTACTAGTTAGGAAAGGACAGCACATGCAGAGGGAACAGCATGTGAAAAAGCCTGGTAGCTGGTTAAACTGCAACCATTGTAAGTAGGGTTAAGAGGGGGCTGGAGTTTCAGGTAGAGGCCTGATTTAGGACGGCCTTGAAGCCAAGGACTTTGGAATTTATCCTGAAGACAAGGATGTAATACAGCTCATGCCCGTTTTACAAAGACAGTTCTGAATGAAGGTTGTGTGCAGGACAGAGATGAGAAACCCTTTGGGAGAGGAGTTTATCTGACTCAGTAAGAAATTGTGAAGGTCTGAGACAACATAGAAAGGTCTGATTGTCAGGACTTGGTATCATGAATATCTTGCATGGTATGGGAGGACAGTAGATAAAGAAGAGGAGAAAGGATGACTTCCACATTTCATCTCGGGGATTTCATGGATGAGGGAGCCAAAAACCAGGATTGAAACTATATGGGAGGAGACAGAGCAGATTTGGAGAATGGGTGATGGAAATGTTTTGGGTTTTTTTAAAAAACATGTTGTTTTTGAGATATCTATGGGACATACATCTTTTGCCCAGGAGCCTATTGAATACCTGTATGATTATGATTATTAGGAATGACACGGAAGCATTGTGGTCTAGGAGTAAAGAATTCTGTTTCTAAATTTGCCAGTGAATGCTCGTTTTTCATCTGTAATGTTTAGAGTGTGGTGATAGAAACATACCCCTTACGGGAGTTATAAGTAATATTGAGCTAAAGAATAAATAATTGAATATTATAAGGCATTTGAAAAATTGTAGTAGTTAAACACTCTGGGGGCTATACAACCTTTTACTGAGATAAATGTTCGTATACCAAAGTTAAGATTCCTAAGATCATTCATTTTGATGGCATTTGAATAACATCGGCTGACTTCTCTAGTATGGTTTAGATAAGCTTTTTGCTTGGTTTTGGTTTGTTTTTTTTTTTAGATTTTTCACTACTCAAGTATGTTTTTTTCCCCTGCTTTTTGCGTAACAAGAAAAACTTCATCTTACAGCTTATGACCAAACCTCTTGTGCTAATATTGTTTATACTTCCCCTATTAAAAAAAATGATACATACTACCTTTAAAATGTTCACAGAAAATGCATTAGCTAATAAACATGAAAAGCAAAACAACTGTAAAATGTTTGCTGTGACGGGGTTGTTTTCAAGTTCTTCACTGAGGCTTCTGTCCGTCAACCCTCTGAGCAGGAAACAGTATAAGGTTTCTTATTATTGTTATGACTAACACATTGTAAAGCTCTTTTTCCTTTAATCCATTTAGTACAGGATCTATTTAGTACTGGCCAGTGTCCCAGAATACCATCAGAGATAAGGCTATTATCATTTCATTGAGCATTATCCTAGGAAAGCATTTATAAAATTGAACTCTGTTGCACCTGCTGACCTCCTTTTTCAAATGAAGGAAGGGTGGGGATGGAGATTATGTTCACTGAATTCAGAGGGAGCAGAGTGTTTGACAGCCTGAAACTGTGCTTTAGTTAGCGCCTTTTATATTGTGCAAATCGATTCCATCTTGGACTCTGGAAGAAGTAAGTTGACAATTCAGATCAGGAAGTTGATGATCACATTGGGTGCTCTGCACTTATTGTCACAGTTGCTATTTTTTATCATGTGCAATTCTATAATAGGACTCCTGGCTATTTCTGGGATTAATCTGAAATGCTTGCTTGCCTTTGCTGTACATGGAATCAAGTGGCATTATCTTCACACATGAAAGACAAGTTCAGAAGAGTTAGATTTTTAATATTTTGCTAACTTAAAAAAAAAGTCATCACAATGGAAAAGAATGCTCAAAAACAATTTCAAAAACTTAATTTTCTCTTGAGTCTGTTTTAAGTTGAAAAACTTGAAGAATACTGCCATATAACTTTCAAGTATCCCTTTAAAAATATTTTACATTGTTAAGTTACTTGAATTATCTTTATATAAAATAAATGCCACATGTATTTATGTAGGTATGCTATTACAGCTACACATTTAAACCCTTGACAAGTTTGTTGCTGGTTTGGGAGCAGTTTACTGAAGTAAATGAAGGCTCTGTGGCTTTCTAAAATTTTCTTTGATTGATAGGACAAGATATAAATGAAATAAAATAATTTCTCATGGTGTTGTCCCAACAAGTCTTTTTTCTCTATTCCGTTCTAATTTCTTCTCACATCCTTACATGCCATTTCTATAATTATTTCAGTGTTAAAATCTGCCATTTTTACTTCACATTATATTTTAAATTTTTCCATGGTGGTGCATTATAAAAGCCCATTATTTATATAATACACATGGAAAGCTGTGTATTTAATAATAGAGTATTTTACCAAGTTAATAATCTGGTAGGAATGTCAATTAATAAAATATAAACAATTTACATGATATAAAGCTGTAGGTCATTGGCAAAATTAAACTATACACTAGATTGCCTCAGCAATATCTATTGTACAAAATTCACAGGTCAGTAAAATAAGGTTTATCAACAACTTGGTGGACTATATTCATCTGAGTTTTATATATTGTTTAGATATGTATTAGCTATATAGTCAGAGAACACATGGGTGCAGTCCTTCAATCAAGGACTGAATTTAAGCTGTTTTGAACTATCTGAAAACTGAGGATCCTTTTATCAATTTATAAGTTTTATCAATTTGTTCAGTTTATTTAGTTAGCATTTCCTGCCTTTTAAATAAGAAAAAAAGTAATGTATTATCTGAATGCACATGTGCTATATGCAGTAATTTTAAATATTTAGTAATAAGGAGCATAAAAAAGGGAGGTTGCGTATGTAGCTGAGTATGGGTTTTATGGTCAAAGAGATCTAGAGTTTACTCCCGCCTCTACTGCAGGGAGCTGTGTCATCTTGGGCAAGTTATTTACCTTATCTCTTAGCCTCTATTTCCTTCTCTGTAAAGTGGGTTTAATAATGCATAGCTGCATTATAGAGTTTTAGTAAATGATATAATTAATATTTATGGGATGAGAAGAGAGGCTTACCCTACCAGTAACTTCCTAAAAGTTCCCAGCATAATGGAAGGAGGGGACAGGTTCCCCTCAACCCTATCCCCAGCCCTCCTCCTGGGATGAGAAACATGGGTGGGGGACAGACCAGCCTTGGGAAGGGCTGCTCAGCCTAATTCTCAGAAGTGGTAGTGCTGGCAAAAACCCTTGTTTTTTCTTCAACAGGAGAATTTTACTGTTTTTCTTTTTCTTCAGTTTGGTTGTTTAGAGACATTCCTGGATGCAGTTTGGTCAGTTACAATTAAAGTTGATTCTTTAAACACACACACACACACACACACACACACACCCCACCCCCCCACCCCCCGCCCATATATGGCAGACAGTCTCTCAATAAAGGTAGTTCTGGTACTTATTACCCTTAATATTATTCATTAAAATTTGCACGTAAGTTACTGCAGAAGTGTTTTAAATAATAGAGGACTGATACCATGGACCGAATCAGATTCTTATTAATCCTATAATGTTCTATAATGTTTGAAAGTTGCATATGCTGAGTTAATATTCACATACAAAATAAAATTAAAGTACATAATAAGAGAACTTATTTACGCTCTGCTAGCTAACATGTAACTTTTCTTTCAACAGGCTCAGCACTATGTCGCTACAACCTAAAGATTTCTGAATATACATCTTCAAAAGCTGCTTCTCTTTGCCCCAAACTACCAGTTCCAGCGAGGTAAATTTTATTGTATATTGTTAACTTGTGACTTTTGTTTTTGTAGGTAGATTTTAAACTGTGTATGGTATTCTAAGAGTCACTTGATACCAATTGCCTAGGTCCAGTACTTTTACATCAAAATTTTTAAAGTACTAGTATAAATGATAACATGTTATTTATATCTTTTTTAAAAAAATAGGCAAACAACTTTTCTCATTATCAGTTATTTTAAATTTCTTTGGGCGGGCTCACCTTTTTTTATATGCCATTATTTTTAAGTATACGAAACTGCTGAATCATTATAAAATCTAAAATAAACTTAAAAGCCAAGTCTGACAGTCTTTAAAGATTCGTAGAAATTGATCCTATTAATACTAATGGGGATAATTTTTAAATTTAAACGGCAAATTTAAAAAATATGCCAGTGATTATTCTCCATAGTTTATTTTAGGCTATATCTTTTAGGTACATTCTCTGTAATAGGTTGTTTACATATCTTACCCAAGGTCTTATACAACAAACAAACATGTATTATTAAGTAATGAATGTTTACTTACTACTGCATGTAATTGATGCAAGAATCGGGAAAAAATCTCATGGTTGTTATAAGTAAAGCAAATTTTAAAATTATAAGTTAATTTTTAAGAAAGGAAATAAATTTTCAAGCACTGTGGAATATATTCTCAGAATTAGGTGTATAGGATTTGGAGCATGTCTGATCTTAAGAACCTTAGCATGTATCTCTAACCAGGTATGACATGAGTCAACCTTTCCAGGAATACTGACCTGAACCACTTTTATCGTATCTCGGTACACTGTAGAAAGCTGTTGGTCAAAACTTTTGAGACTCATGTCTACTTTCCCTCGGATTGCGTATGGATGTAACTTGTGCTTTATCAACTTGAATTTGAAACTTTCTGCTGAAAAGTAGATAAAGCAGATAGCAGTTCAATTGATTTCCGCTTTTAGTCTTGTCAAGTTGCTTCTGGTGTTAAAATGTAAAGCCTTTGGACATAAATATAAAGGAACTATTTTAAAAGATACTAAGTCAAAGGGATCTACACGTTATGGGCTTAGGCTAATAGATAAGGAGACGCCATCTGTGAAAACTGAGAACATTAGGGAGGCTGTGACAGTAAAGAAAAAGAGGTGGTTTGAATAGAGGCACTAGAGAAAATTCATCAATGTGAAACTAAGAAAAGCTATGTCCTACTGAATTGCTAAAGCCTTGTTTTAAATGCATATTTTGAGTACAGTCGCTATTTTAAGACATAAACATATTATAAAAGCATAACCAGAAAGCTTTGAAAATGAGGTTGCCTTGCTCCTGTACCCCCTGGTGGGGGCCCCGGCGTGTGGGGCGGCGCGTACTGCGGGCCGCCCCCCGCCTCCCATCTCTGATTTTACCTTGCTGAGAACTACCTGTTCCTGGCGATTTGGGGTGTTTTAGTGTTGGCGGCACATACATGCACGTCTCACACACAGCATCCTAAGGATATTCACCAAAAGACAAAGCGTAGTATTAGGGGCTTGGCGTATAGATATGGACAGACTTGGCTTCTAACAAGGTCATCCACTAACGTGTCGGCAATTCAAGATGCAATGACTAAATTCAATGTTTATATCTTATTTAAAGATCCTTACAATCTGTGTCTTACCACTTTTGTCTGAACTCAGCTCATTGGAAAATAAAGAAGAAATAATTGATAGGAGGAAGGCAGATTAGGACCCGGTAAATATCATTTATTATTTGGCGAACAAAATGAAAGGATCAGAAATCAGAATAAATTTGTTCTAATAAAAAACTTGGGACACTACCTTGTTCCATACTAGTATTATATACCGAATCTAAAAAGATGACTAAGCTCTAGCGTGTCCCTAAGAAACTCTGTCCTTTAAAAAACTAGGGACTGTTTTTTATATATGCCTATTTTTTTGTTAATGTGTCCAAAAGACCAGCACTAGGCAAACTTGTGATGCAGGCAAATGGCCCTCAGCATCTCTCACATCTCTCCTGCTGTCCCCCTAGGAGCAGCCTAGTGGGACAGAAAGAGGGTGAACTTTGAGCCCAGCTAGGCCTGGAAGTGATTCTCTGTCACCACTTTCTATTTGTCAGCTTAAGCAACTCTCTTAATCTCTCTGTTAACCAAGTTTCCTCACATATACAACGAGAATTTAATAGTTCTGTCATGGAATTGTAAGAATTAAATTCGATAATATGTGTTACACATCCATTATTGTGCTTGCCTTTGGCTTGAAAGTATTATTTCTCTCAGCCACAAGCCTCCCCATTACCCCCAACCTTGCTGGGCACCCAGGCCCCTTCTGCGGCTGGAGACAGTGCCTGTTTAGAGAAAAGCAGCTGTAAACTAATTTTCAGTAAAACATCATTCCCCTATAATTGCTCAATGATTACTATTTTGAAGAGCTTTTAAATTTAAAAACAAATGCCTAGAAAGAGCCCTATTTACCCAAATTCATAACTCTCTGTTGGTGACATGCAAAACATAATAGCAATGGGGAGACTAGCTAGTCTATACACTACACTGCTTAAAGGTTTAGGTATAGCTAGAGAAAATTGCAATACGAGAAGCAGATTACATAAATTCAGTTTATTCATCAAACGTTGATTTTGGTATTTTTGGATTCAGAAAGGGTGCTGGGTACTGGGAAATTAATAACATAATATAGAAATGAGAAACTAATAGCCAAGAAAAAATTGTTATCTATTTATATTTTTAAATGAAGGATTCAAGGTAAATTAACATTTATAAATCATCTACTGTATGCCAGCTACCATATTAAGCTTCTCGTATGTATTAATCTCATTTAACCCTCACAAAAGCCTATAAGAATATTGTCCCAATTTATAGATGAGGAAATAGAAGATAAGAGAGATTAAATGAATTATTCAAGAGTTCACAACTAATTGTTGGGGATCAGAATTTGAATCTAAGTTCTTGTAAAATCTATAGTACCATTAGTTTTTTTTATTTTTAAGAGAAAGAGAGTACAGGAATTAAAGGAGAGAAAAAATAAAATAAAACATGAAAACCATTGCATATTACCATTAGATTCTTGAGTTAACTTTTTTCTTGCCTTTTCTGCATTATGGAAGGAAATATTGCCAGAACCCTCTATTGTTCTTCTTTCTTAAATAAAGCTTTTAATTACAAATCATGTGTAATTGCTTATTTAGAATCTGAAGGGTTTTAAAAATTGAGTAATCATTGGTTTATAACATTACAAAGTTTCAGGTATGCAACATTATAGTTCGACATCTGTATATACTGTATCATGCTCACCACCAAAAGTCTAGTTTCCATCTGTCACTGTATAATTGACTCCCTTTACTCATTTCACCCTCCTTCCACTGGTAACCACCAATCTGTTGTCTGCTTCTATGAGTTACTGTTCTTGTTTTTTGTTTTATAATCTGAAGTTTTAAAATAATTGTGTAAGGTGCCAACGCCTGTCTTCTCTTATGAAGGTATATGGAGAAGAGACATTAGGCATTGTTTGTCACCATACTTTGAGGGAGTTCACTAATTATGATAGTCTGGATTTAAAGGCAAATGTTTTTTGCCTTTATGTTTTCCTATGAGTGGCTTTAAAAGACTCATTATAAATTTATTTTGTTCTTGTTGACTGTTTCAGTCATGTGAAACAGCATCAGTTCCTAATGGAACAACATTGACTTCTTAAAGATTCCATTTCTATGAGCTTCAAAAAGTAGTGAAACTTATATATGGAATTCTTTATGCCTGTCCACTCAATTAGGAAGCACAAACTCTGTCATGCAGGTTAGCCACTTAAATAGAAATCTCACATATTAGGCTCTCAGAATTATTATTTTCTGAGAGGCGTATGAAATCAGCTAACTCATCTTAAATTCACTAGACTGTATAGGATTTAAATGGTAAAATATAAGACAGACCATATCAATGCCATGATTACTTACATTTTTTTTAGTAAGAAAATAATTCAAGTATTAACTCATGGGTGGTTGAATAGTTTTTGTTTGGGGAAGAGTTGAGAAAAAGAATGAGATACAAAGGGAATCTAGTGCTTTTTACTTGAAAGCTAAGTATTTAATTTTATTTCTTACTACTGTGTCCAAATACTATCTTCTCTTTTGCCTTCTATTTCTGTTATTCTGTACCAGTTAGAGCAGATTTTGAGCATTTTGGCCATCAGCTAATCAGTTTGTGTTAATTTTGTAATCTTCAAATTTAGAGTTGTCAGGGTTTTTTTGCTTTGTTTTGTTTTAACAGACATAGATTGAATCATAAGGCAAGGAATTATTGTTATATTGCTTCATTTCTTTGGGGGATACATGTAAAAGTATTCTTTTCATTGGCCATATATCTATGTGCAGTATAAAAATGACTTAAAAGGTTAAGTTCAGAGCAGCTATTACTCAGTGTTTCCTCTTTGAAAACAATGAAGGATTAGAATTTTAACAGTAGAACCCTTCCCTTTTCAAATCATCTATTCTCGTTCTAAGTCTGAAAAGCAGAAGCACACTAAAGATATTGGGCTTGCTGCTCCTATTAATTCACAATCATTGATTTCTAGGTGGGCATAATATTGTTGTTATTATTATTAATATTGGAAAAGACAGAGGGCTTCCCTACCCTTTCAATTAACAGATGGAAAAACAGAGGGAGAAAGAGAGATGGAGTGATACGCAACTATGTAATGTTAGGAGAATCACCCAGGGCTTTTGAATCCAAGTCCAGGTTTCTTTCCTTTATTTCTTTTAGGAATGATGTGTATTTCTTTGAGTATAAAAATACATCAGCATCCTGTTAGGATATGAGAGCTCTAGGTGGAGTCACCTCTGTTCAGAGGATCAAGTTTACTATGGTTATCTGACAGGAAAAAGGAAATAGGAAAGCAGGCCAAGAAAATTGGTGGCTATTAAAAATAAGAAAAAGACATCAGTCTCCTTAAGATGGATATATTTTATGTTTAAAGTTGGAGGCAAGTGAGTTAAACAGAGGCTACATCAGAGATGATGGACTAATAAATAAAGCAGGTGACGATGCGTGTAATCATGGACCAGAGAGGACTTTAGTTTTGAAGGCTAGGGAACCAAGCCTTAGTTAAAAATACGGTTAGACGTCCTTAGATGGGCACATGAATCTGGTAGGCACAGTATCAAGACAGCATCAGTTTAAAGGTTTCTTTCCCAAATCAGCCTTCCTTGACCTAGGAACTTACAGTTAATCCTATTTGATTTTTTTTCTTGTAATATTTCTAACTAAATCCATTTCACTTAAAAGTATTGTGTAATTTAATATCTTTTTATATCATTAGTGAAACAAATTTTGGTGAAAAAATGATGACTTACATACCTGTAATTAAAGCATTACTCAGAATGCTTTGGCTTTCTGAAATTTCTGACAAAATATCAAATCTTTGTCATCAACTTTCACTCAGACTTTCACTATCACCATTTTAGAGGCATACACAAATACACCCACAGCTCACAAGATGCAAATTTTTAAAAATAAACACTGATGTCATATTGTCACATCATGTTGGGATGCATTTCACTGAAGCATAACTAAGGTAAGGCTAGATCTTTAAAATTATATTATTTTATTGTTTCATGAAGCCTAACAGTTTGGAAGAAATTGCTTGTTCTTACTCCCAGTCGTGCTCATTTACTAACATTTGAGGAAGGAAAATAGAATAGTATTTTGCTTGTGTTTATACAAAGTTGCTTTGCTGAGGTTAGAAACTTTGGAATTTGATGCTCAACCATGTAATCTTGACCAAAATACGGTGCCAACCAAGAATAAAAACATACTATTCCTTCCAGTCAAAATGTTGTATTAGAGCTGTGACTCACAGTGCTACAAATAATTCTGAAGATGTGGGATTTATGTTAGCAATGGCTCAATTTTAACTTAACATACACATAAATGTGTATTCTTGCATTGACACATACATGGACTCTCTCAGAATCCAAGCAAATCACAGCCGAGGGCATGTTATAGAGCTTTGTTCAAAATCTCTTCCTAATTAGATACGTACCATCCTCTCAGAAGCTAAAGTAGGACCATGTTAATAACAAACCTGATGAATGTCATGTTTCACACACAGCTGTGTTTCTTCACAAGTAAAAGCTGCAGTCTGATAAGAGATTACCTCTTTTTTAAATATTAATAATCTCATAGTAACAACATATAAAAAGAAAGCAAAAGCCTCAAATCCTATGACCCTACCAAGTGAGAGATTTTTCATTTGTTTATGTTTTTGTTCTGATCCTTATATATATATATATATATCTTTTATACAGAGATGCAATCATCACATTAGATATAAATTTTGGGGTTTTTTTTCCCCTTGTTCTCTTACATCATACATATTTCCATACATTATTATTAATGGCTATTGTTTTATTTTTTAAAGATTTTATTTATTTATTTTTAGAGAGAGGGGAAGGGAAAGAAAAAAGGAGAGAGAAACATTGATCAGTGCTTTTCACACGCCCCCAACTGGGTACCTGGCCTGCAGCCCAGGCATGTGCCCTGACTGGGAATCAAACCAGCGACCTTTTGGTTTGCAGATCAATGCCCAGTCCATTGAGCCACACCAGTCAGGGCCATGGTTATTGTTTTAAACAGCTGCATATTATGCTCTATTAAGTCATGCTGAGGCATCATGTTCTATATGAGAGTTACTAAGCTTGTGCCCAAACACCATTTTAATCTAAGGTTTTGCATGCTGTTCTGATAGAGGAAATACTCTCTTAATGGTGGCACATTTCAAGCAACAGCACATATGTGTTTTTATTTTTAAATAGCTTATGGCAAAAATTCATTTTCAGTTCAATGAAGTCCATGTTTGTAAGTTTTGTCATCTGCTCCTTGATTGATAGATGGGTAGGCTGAGGAATTTAAGTGTTTGGTTTTGCTTTTGGTAGTTTTATGTGTGTGTGTGTGTGTGTGTGTGTGTGTGTGTGCGCGCGCGCGCTTCTTTTTCGAAGGGGAGGGTAATGTCTTCTGTTGGAATATGCACTCCCCCCTCTTTGACAGGGTTCGCGGTGAGATTCGCGCCATTGCCCATGACAGTCATCTTCATAGCATCAAGCTCACAGCTCTCAGCTCCCATACGGCGTGTGGAGGGTGGAGTGTACTGCAGTCATGTTCACCCTTCATTTGTGTGTTGGATGTGGCATTTATATTAAGTAGGAGTAATTTTTTTTCTGATTTTTTTTTTCTTGTGTCACCAGTGCACCTATTCCATTCTTCCATCGCTGTGCTCCTGTGAACATTTCCTGCTATGCCAAGTTTGCAGAGGCCCTGATCACCTTTGTCAGTGACAATAGTGTCTTACACAGGCTGATTAGTGGAGTAATGACCAGCAAAGAAATTATATTGGGACTTTGCTTGTTATCACTAGGTAATTGTTTTTCTCATTATTAGCTATTGCATAGTACTACAGCAGAAGACTGTTTTGTCTTTTAACCAAAATATGAATACAACTGGGGATACTTGTAAAATGTTTCACTTCCCATAGCCAAATAATTGTTTCAGATTATATATAGTTATGAATATATATATATATCTGAAACTCATTTCTTTTCTTTTTTTCTCATTGGAGAAAACTGGTATGTTCCCAAACTTTGGTTACTAAGTCTCTAATAACCTTTAACATTATAACATGAGGATTCTTTTAACAAATCAATACCCCTTTGTTTTTAGTTATGAATCTAATCTTTGGCTTATTTGCTTATAAAAAGAGGCCACATTTTTATGTATATTTCTATCAAAGAACATAGATTTCTGATTGATTACTTCTGAAATATTTTTTCCCTTGCAGTAGTTCATAGTATCATTGTATTGCTGGAAAAATTAGGAAATCTCCACTTGTTAGCCACTGAGTTTTCTTGTCATGGAGTAGACAGTATAATCAAATAATACTGGTATTTTCAAGATATGAACTCCCTATATTATCCTAGAACTATATGTAGCCATGTCAGAATTTATAGACCTTTTTAGCTGGAAGAAGTAAACTGGTAGGAACCAAACAACCATTTCATTATCTAAGTAAAATGAGTATTTATGTCTGTTAGCAACAAGCATAGTCATTGAGAAGACCAGCTATATTTCCGTCTTGTCATTAGAGAGTATTTTCTTTTTGCTTAGGTAGTACTTGACTCAAATGAAATAATGCTGTCCATATGAAAAGCTATTTCTGTGATATTTGAACTGCTCCTATCTGGTTTTGGTTCCTGTACATTTATTGCAAAAGTGAGTACCTTAATAATGTTACCTAGCTTGACTATTAGCCTAGTTTTACATAAGAATTATTGGGTTTCTGAAGTAGTTGAATACTTTACCAAGAAAAAAAAATCTCAACCTTAAAAATGTAATAATAATGTTCTTAACCATTGGAATTCCAACTTTTTATTAAATGTTTCTCTTGAGGCTTAAGATCTTTGTCCATTAGTTTGTGAAGTGGACCTTTAGTTAACTAAAGGTGAACAAACTATATTTTAGAAACAAATTTCCCCATAAAAGAACTAAGTCCTCCCACTTTATTTTTTGAGACTTTTACTCAAGACTTTAGCATGTTGGAATTTAGTTGGGGATGGGCAGAATAGCTGGCTGAATAACTCAAACTAAGCTTTGCTCCTTTTTGAAGAGCTTCTTAAGCAGGACCCTGGCCCCAGTTGAGGACTGAGGTCAGAGGAATCTTGGCTTCACGAGGCTTCAGGATATTATTCCATAGGGTCAGACCATGTTTTGGAATTTCAGAGGAGATATAACCAGAAAAAGATAAACTACTGTCTAGTTTACTAATCAACCATCAAAGAAATTGGTCCTGAGATGCATAGATTACTTAAGGAAGTGTAGCACCTAATTTAACTGATCTCTCTCTACATGTGATAAGTTTTCTGGTCACCAACATGACATGTCATTCTCTACACTTTGTGTGTTGGCATGTGTGTCTGCATGTGAGTTCTGATGCCTTCCTGTGGTGAATCCACAACAGTTCTGTGCTGTTTTTGAGTCACCATGTACATTTGCATGTATTCTTTTCTGTGTTTATAAACCCACAGTTAGGTGCCTTTGGTTTCAAGTGGCACTAGTACCAAAGTCAAAGTACAAAAGCAACCAGTTTCCTTTTTTTACCTAAATTGGGGTCATGAATAATAGCAAATTATTTCCCTAGGAGAAAGCAATTGAAAGAGTTTTTATGTTTTCCAGAATTTTCAAATAATATTCTACATGTTCTCTATTTATCTTCCCTGCAGTTCTATCCATGATTTTGATGGTGATAATCAGGTATATATCAAGAGTACTTGTATGGATCGTAACAATTCTGGTCATACTGGGTTCACTTGGTAAGCTACTTATTTCTTTGTTTTTCAGTAATTAGAATTGAGAATTAACAATTGCTTTTGTCACTCCCTCAATTTGGAGCTACTTTGATTACTTAAAAAAAATTTCTGCTTGTGAATTAATTTTAACTGTAAAAAAACTGGTAAGTGGATTACATTGACATTAGGTTACTGTGAGATCACTAAATCAAAGAAAATGGTGAGGTCATTGGCAAATGGAGACTTTTTTAGGGGCTAACTTTTTTTCATCACTATTAATTTGGGGGGAAGAACCCAAGAGAAAATACAACAATTGAGGCTCTGTTTTGCTTCTAGCGCTTTAATTATCACTTGATTCTTCCAGTGTTCCCAGCCCTGCAAGTGAAGGAATCCTTTCCTTTTATCTGGCACGGCATATAAAGACCCGAATCAGCCATTCTAAAGTGTCGAAGTTCTTTCTAGTTGAAAAGTGTTCCTGGTGGGGGGCAGGGGGAGAGGGAGAGAGTTTAAAATTTTATTTCTCATTTTCTGTCTATTGACATTCTATTTATTTTCTCTTTTGTTTTACTGTTTGTAATGAAACTTTCTAGAATTTCTGTGTTGATTGTCTATTTAAAAAAATAATAATTTCCTCTTCCCAGTTATAAGTGTGATATCTACTCATGGTATCTAACTACCGCCATGGGAGAAAATAGAAATATAAAAAGAAAATGGAACTTTTATTTTCACATGCTACATCTTCTCTTTAAAGTAGATCATTTACTTTTGCCTTTTAAAATTTTATAATTATTTTTACCCCCTCCTCTCAGTTCACGAGTATTAATATTTGAAATCCAGACCTTTTTTCTCCTTGTGTGTGTTTGTATGTGTGTGTTATATATATTTCATTCCATTTTTGGAGGCTATTAAACAGTTTTAAAAATAGTTTTCTTGTACCTTCAAGGTTTCAAAATAGAAGTATTTCCCTTGCTCTGAAATATTTTTCATAGACTTAAAATTGTTTGAGTTTGTTTACTCATCTTCAATAGAAGAAAAATATTTATATTCAGTATCTGCCAACACATGTGGGTATAGACTTTCCCTTTGACCCCACTTACTCTTTACTTGAGTGAAGATAGAAGTCTTCACTCTATCAAATACAGGTTGGATTTGTGTATAACTAGTTCAGTTTCTTATCTTCCAGGCATTTATCTTGTCCACCTACACACACGCACGCACGCACACGCTTCTCTGAACCTTCCATTCCCTTACCATGGCCTACAAACCCTTACCGTGTAATCCGGACCCCAGCTACCTTGTTAACCACATGTCTTATCTTTGCTTATTGCATAGACATAGTGGCCTCCTCCTATCTCTTTTGCCAGGCATGGTCCTACCTCAGCATCTTAGAATTTACCTCTTGCCTGGGACACTCTTTTCTTAGTTTCATAGATTTCTCTCTCCCTGTTTTTGATTCTCTTGCTCAAATTAGTCTCACCAGTGAGGCCTTGCTTACCCATTTTATATAAAATTGCAATGCTTTCTCAATGCCAGTGCTTTCTATCCCTCTTACCAGATGACTTTTTTCTTAAACTTTCTACGCTATGTTTTTGCTTTTTTCCCCTGATTTTGCGTTTTCGCATTACTATGTAAGCTCCACGGGGGTTGAGGGTGGGGACTTGGTTTTGTTCACTCTCTATCCCCAACAGCTAGATCAGGGGATGCTGTTAGGCACTCAACATATTGGCTGAATGAGATGGATGAAGGGTTTGCCTCTGTCTTCAGTCTACTTCTCAGAATCTCTGAACCAGTAATGGAGATAGAAACCTCTGTCCCTAGTGCCCACCGCTATCAAAGATTTTCTGTCTTTGTTCTTACCTTTGGTGGGAACTACTCTTTTGACCTTCATTTATTCAGTGTACGAATACTTCATCAGGTGCATGGCTGTCAGTGCTTGGTGCTGGGTTGACTGTGATGGGGACAGCAGAGAAGATCTTTGCCTGCCTCGGCTTCGTTGCTGATTTCGGTGACACTTCCTTGCTCCCTGCAGGCCCCCCAGTTTAAGCCACTGCTGGGGCTCTTTGTGACCAGCGCCTCTTGCGGGTATCTGTCCTTGCCAGATCTCTCTCAGCTTCAAAGTAAGAACAAATACAGTTGAAGGAAGTTTATCGGATGCACTGAAAGATTTGTGAGTGCCTGATGTAGAAGGGGACAGTGGAGTGATTGGAGCTCCCTTTACGCTGACAAAAAAGTTATAGTTCCTGTATTAGTCCCATGGTGATGCACAGGAAGGGTCCAGAAAATTGAGGGTTTGTTACATACTTTTGTGCACAAATTATTGCAAAAGCAATTGTTTTTGTTTCCAGGTGGCACAGGTGTACTATGGTGGCTGTATGCAAAGCAAAGAAAGTCTCCCAAAGAAACAGTTATTCCTGAACAGCTTCAGATAGCTGAAGACAATCTTCGGGCCCTCCTCATCTATGCCATTGCAGCTACAGTGTTCACAGTGAGTATAGGTTCAGCTTTATGCTTCTATGTACAGGAGATCATTAATGGAGTAGACACTCACCTCTAGCTATTACTTGCCTAACCTTGACCTCCATTAGATAAAATCTGTCCCACAGAAGGCTTCCTTCATCGATAAGTGCTATTGATGCAGTGTTTTGTTCTGCACAGCCTGCTTTTTTGAGAGGATTTTCACCTAGAATATTTACATTCGTATTTACTAGAAGAACATTTTTCTTATTGTCACAAGATAATGTAATCACTTTTTATCAAGCAGTTTCCTTTACTATAAAAAAGTATGTTAAGAAATAAGTCACCTCATGTCTTATCATTTACTTGTTTACTAATGATTTCCCAATTTTTCTTTTAAATTTTTAACAACATTATTTCAAAAGTATAGGTGAGCTTCACTGCCTAGCCCCTATACAGCAAACTTACTAATTAACATGTGTTTAAATAATCTATACTCATAACTCGGGCCCATCTCCTCGACCTCTCTGAACAAAAGAAAAAAGACATTTCCCTCCACTTCTAGGTATAAACTCACGTTTCCTATTGAGCATTGAAACAACAATAACAACAAAATAAAGCCATCATAAAACCATTGGTGCCAAAAGATATTTGTTACAGTACAAATATATTGATACATTAATCATCTCTTAAGTGCAATTACCTATACCAGGTGCCAGGAAGGAGGGCAGGGGGCTGGTGAACAAAGGGTGAATCTGGCGTGGGCCCTGCTCTTAGGGAGCTCTTGGCTCAATCTGGGAGATGAAGTACAGATATGTCAGTGCTTTTGTGGTCATGACATGTGGTCCTCTCCCCTGTTTTTCGAAGTGACAGGCATGGAGCTATTCCAGTAAAGTGTCACATCCTGTCTGACAAACCACACGTTTTGATTCATAATGAGTGGACAAAAGAAAAGTAGAATTCTAGGATTTAATAATAAATTGAGAAATCCTTTTATTTAGCTTTAAAAGATATTTCCAATATGTAATTGAAAATGATAAGTGCTGCCAGAGAGATACAGACTGATAAAGTATTATTGGGACTCAGAATGAAACTCTCAGCTCTTTGGAGTGAAGGTGTTATGGTAAAAATTTCCATCATTGTTTAGTTTCTGCCTTCACTGCTTCAAGGAGTAACAGAAACCTTTCCCTCCACTCTCTCCACACAGGTGATCCTGTTCCTGATCATGTTGTTCATGCGCAAGCGTGTTGCTCTCACTATCGCCTTGTTCCACGTGGCTGGCAAAGTCTTCATTCACTTGCCATTGCTAGTCTTCCAACCCTTTTGGACATTCTTTGCTCTTGTCCTGTTCTGGGTGTACTGGATCATGACACTTCTTTTTCTTGGCACTGCTGGTAAGAAGACATGTTGCTTCTTTCTGTTAGGGATGAGCCTTATTCATATTAAAATATTTAAAATATCAAAGATATAATTCTTCAGACATTTGACTATGGTCTAATAGCCATCAGTACTAGCAGTGGTTATTGGTCTGCAGTAACCCATTTTCTAACTATGATTTGTAGATCATCCTAGCAAAGTGGGTGTAAACCAGGTAAGGCCTGGCATTTCATCCTGGTTTTGAGATTGTCACAGATTTGAAGTAAACTCCTGTACTCACGCAGACATTCGGATCCATTTTAAGTTGAACTAAGGAATGCAATGTCACTTCAAGTTGCCTCAAACCCCAGTTGTAGCAAAGACCAACTTGTTTCCTTGGGATTTTCTAGTTTGGAAATGACCCGAACCTAGTGATGTTTCAGTTCAAGGACTCTCGGATTTGCTTGTAGCCATACTTACTATTAAAGGTTACATCTAAATAGAATTAACTGTGAGGAGTAACATAAGGTTAGTAAACTTGTGTGTAATTTCTCTGGCCATTCAGCACACATTTGCCAATTGAATAGAATGTGAATTTCTATACTTTGTTAATAATCAGGACTGTAATTATTAGACAAGTAATAGCTCTGAAAAAAATTTAAAGTATTTGAAAATACATGCCTAAAGTAAATAACTGATAATGTGGTAAGAACTGTATTTAACAGAACAAATTTTAAAAGCTATGTATCATGGCTTTGGGGGAAAAAAATGCTGAATTATATGATATTTGGCTTCACAACTTTTGAAGGGGTACCTAATTTTCTCCTTTAATGAAATAGCACTGTGATGTGTAAGTTTGTGGTTTGGGGGTAGGGACCTATTGTTGGAAATTAAATTATTCCCTTAAATTTAACAGCCATGTTTTTGGTTTATACTTTATGTGATTCTTCTTTTCCTCCTTGATTTTTCCTAGGCAGCGCTGTTAAGAATGAGCAAGGCTTTGTGGAGTTCAAGCTCTCCGGGCCTCTGCAGTACATGTGGTGGTACCATGTGGTGGGCCTGATCTGGATTAGTGAGTTCATTCTAGCGTGTCAGCAGATGACGGTGGCAGGAGCAGTGGTGACGTACTATTTTACTAGGTGAGAATTCATACTTGTCAGAAAACTTAAGATCACCTAAGTGATTGTGCCTGAGGGAATGGGACTGAGCCTTGCGAGTGTCATTTCTTTAAAAAGTAATTGGAAGCGAATAAAAAGATGTTATAGTTGCTAATTCTGGGAGGTAGGAAAATGAGAAGTTGTTATTTTATTCTTTATGCTTTTCTAAAACTTTCTCAAAAATTCATCAGAACGGCAAGCCATCATATAACAAATTATATTTAGCAGAAGAATAAATCTTGAAGTAGTGTCTTATGTACTTTTGCTTTATATAAACGTCCATCAAAGGAAAACAAGCCATTTTAATTTGCTTGGATCAGAACATCTGTGTGCCTGCCTTTCCTAACTTCAGAGCTGAATATAAGCTGTAGGCCTTTTCATTTTTCTATTGTAATGAGGGGCCAGGTTCAGATTGAACATTTTTTTAAGTTCCATTTCCTCCTTTTTAAAAAATTTTTTATTGTATTTTTTTCCATTACCATTTATCCCCCTTAAGTATTTACTAATAAGAACTTTCAAAGCATACTTTTATTTAACTTAAAATATTAGAGTGTTAAGAACCCCATGAAACTACTGTAGAGAAATAAAACATTAATTTTTTATGGTACATCTGTAGCATTTACATTAGTTGTACTATATTGCTTTGCCATTTTGTCATAAAGCAAGAGTAAGAAAAATGAACCAGTTTTTTATCCCATGGGACTCTAAATCATTCCTGTGTTTCCATCCTGGTCTAGCCTCTGTTTTAATTGTCTTTTGGTCATCTTTAAAATAGGGATAAAAGGAATTTGCCATTTACACCTATTTTGGCATCAGTGAATCGCCTTATTCGTTATCACCTTGGTACGGTGGCCAAAGGATCTTTTATCATCACCTTAGTCAAAATTCCACGAATGATCCTTATGTATATTCACAGTCAGCTGAAAGGAAAGGTAAGGGGAAAATATTTTTCTGGACTTTCTATGGGCACATCCCACTTCTGCACACAGTAAATGATACCATGTCCGAAGCTGTGAATGTGTCTTCGAAGTCCTGGCAAAGCGGAACCCAGTCCTCCCTCCCTTCTGCCCCACTCTTGCACTACGCATGTTCCAGCAAAATCCATCTCTCCACTGGTTTCCAAAAGTGTTCTGTGCTTCTTCTGCTGTGTCCAATCACATACCTTTCTCCTTAGAACCTCATCCCTATCCTTGGCTGTGGAAATAACCTGCATCTCAACATAGCATAGCTCAGATGCCACCCCTTCCAAGAAATCTTCCCTGATTCCTTCCATCTCCCAAATGATGTCTCTCTGTTCTCCACTATCAGAGCACTAGTATCTATGTCATACTCTGATTCTAACCATTTTTTGTGGTTAGTAGCGTTTCTTTTCCTCCTCCTAGATCGTAAATTCCTTGCTGGTCTTCTATACCTCACTATATCTTACATGCAATAGGTACTAAATAAATATTAAACTAATTAGAAATAGTTCAGCCATTACATTTTAAGGGAAAAGAGATGGATGTGGAGGCTTTAAAGCATAGGTTGTGATTTTTTAATTTTTTATTTTTCTAACATTTGGAATATCCTTTATGATGCTTTAGTTCTTTGGTTTTTAAAAATTATTTCAACTGTACCTCCTTTTCAGGAAAATGCCTGTGCTCGATGTGTGCTGAAATCCTGCATTTGTTGCCTTTGGTGTCTTGAAAAGTGCCTAAATTATTTAAATCAGGTAAAATATTTTAAAAATAAACCTAATATTCATTTTCAAAGATATGTTTGTCATTTCTTCTTCCAAGATAAAATGATTGCACTTAATTGAAAGTTGTTATATTTTTCTCATGGTGTTGTATATTGTGCCTTGACCAGATATCGCTATTTCAATCATATTCTTATTTTTATTTTTTAAATTTTTTTATTTTCAATATTCTTATTTTTAAAAGTAACATACATTCTTACCAAGGCTCATTATTAATTCACTGTGATACATTAATTAATATCAGTAGGGTTCATCTCTCAGGAAAGACATTTGTCTCTTATGCCTTAATTCCCATCTTTTACTCTTTCATTTCTCCTTAAGAATTTGTTTACTCTAGCAATAGTCTTTTAATTATTTTTAAAAAATAAATTAAAGTCTTAGTGAGCCAGAACAAATAGGTCTTTAGGCCACGCAATGTCAGTTGTCCATGGGCCACTAGTTTCTTGCCTCTGCTTTAAAGAATTTAGAGGTTAATAGCAAAGAAGAGTGTTGATATGGCAGTAGAGGAAGTTAGAGTCATTTTGCAGCACAACATGAAATTCCTAATCCCAAATCACGCTCCAGTGCCACACCAGATGGGAAATACAGCTGACTTCAAGAAGGAGCTTTAGATTTTTAAAACGAGCCATTTTATTGTAGTATTTGCAGGTGTTAGAGTCTTGCAAATAAACAGAGTGAACTGTAAGCTGCTCTGTGTTTCTGTAGGAGCCTGTCTAATGTGACATGGAGGCAATTACATACATCTCATCTAACAGGTAGAACTCACTTTAGGTAGAGAGATTGTTACAACTAGAATCTGTTTCTCTTGGACATTGGATTACTTAGGCCTTGGTTTGCTTTGGCACTGTTTGAAGATAGTACATTTAACACTGGTGGGTATCTGCTCTCTGGCTGATAAGCTGTTAAGATTATAAAGCTTTTCTCTATATAGTATGAGCGGGAGTTGTAGAGAATAATTTTTGAGCACCACCAACTGATACTACACTAAACACTGATACACACACACACACACACACACACACACACACACATCTATTCAGAAGGTATCCAGCCATGTAATATGAAAAATGGAGACATTTATTGAAGAACATACAAGACACAAGAAATATTGTACATAGGACAATGACACCTCAGTCCCCTTCAAAGCAGGCACCTTGGATCCTCACACAGTTCTCCCAATTGCCATCAGCTATCCCATCATGCTTTCCTGAATCTCACCAACAGTCTGAAATCTCTTTCTTTTCAAAGGTGATTTTAGTTTTGGGAAAATCCATAAGTCACAGGTCACCAAAACTGGACTGTGCAGGGATTGAGTCACCTAGGTGATTTGATGTTTTGCCAAAACACTCTGCACGCGAGATGTAACACATGAGCGGGTGGGCACATTGTCATGATGAAGCCGCCAATCACCAGTTGCCCATAGCTGCAGCCTTCTGAATCATCCAACTGGTTTCCACAGAGGAATATTCAAGCTTAATGCAAAGTTTGATGCAGATCCAAGGCTCTACTCACACAGTCATTTTGAATGCGGTGGCCACACAGTACACATTGTCACTGAATAACATCTACGTCCCCACTGACTAGTACAGTGAAGTCATCTTGGTTCATGCATAAACATTCCAGTCCGCTCTCCTTGGCTGCCAGGTTACATCCATGCCACGCAGACTGTTCTCATTAGATTAACAATGACTGAACTTTTCCCAGACAGACTCTACACACACACACACACACACTTCATTTTCGATCCACAACTCTGTGGGGGAGGCTCATTTCCTCTGTTTCATAGATGAAAAAATCAAGACCAGCATCTCATGACAGATCACATAACCTGGAGGTGGAGGAAGTTTTAAATCTAAGTTTGCCCAGACCTTGCCCTGATACCACACTGCTTCTTGTATAAATATATACACATTTTGTGCAACATAAAGAACACTAAACTAAATTATACTTTATTATAGAGAATATGTAAACATCTCAAATTTTCATGTATTATGCTGTAAACTAAAACAAGTGATGGTTTTAAAGACAATCTATTTAAATTAAGATTTGCAACATCAGTTTAACTCTGGTGAACCCCTAAAAAGTCAAAAAATTCAACCAAACTGAATGAAATCTGTGGTATAAGTTTGACTTTGTGCTCCCTCCATCCTTCACTCAAAGTAAAAAAGGGATCATCTTAATCACCCTTTCCCTTATTTAATTTGGAATGATCCGCGCATATCCTGTATCTCTTTTCCTACCATTACTATCTAGCTTGCCCCTATTAAGTGAGTTACTATGTAAGATTTTAAACTTAAAGAAAATTTCTAGGTCCTTAAGTGAGGAAAGGAAAGAAGGTATGAAATGGGGGAAGCTGCGCCCTGGGACAGGTGGCCAAGCAGGCCTGAGCTACCAGCCGGGTGACCTCTGTCCTGACACATTTCTTCCATGTGGCCACTACTTTTTCACTATATCCTATCACACAAAAATAATACCAGAGACCCCTTGGGCTAATACGTGTCCTTTTAAAGAGATTCCTGAATGGCGTTCAACTTTTATCTTGCTCTGGGAGTTAATTAGTTTCCAGCCTATGTCCTGCCTGAGCAGATGTTGGACATGAGCAAAATGTTAATCATTGTTGCCTCTCTGTGTGTGGTTTAGCTCAAGATCAGGAAGGCTGTCTGAGAGTAAGGTGGTTGGGCTCTAAAAATCTCAGCTAAGTAGTCTGAAGAAAGCTCAGAGAGCAGTTCCTAGGGAAGGCTACAACAGACTCAGAATTTCTTGAGAATCTTAGCATAAATCCTTTTAGACTAGAAGGTGTAGAAGCAGAGAGAAATTCTATAGACTTGCTGTGATCTGTAGCACATTTTTCTTTCTGAAGAGGTCATTGTGACCTTTGTGTATCACATGCAGCTCATCTAAGTGCCTTGGGAGTGGGAGAAAACTTGTAAAATACCCACTTAGTGTTTTCAGTTAGGTTGAATACAAAGGAGCAGCACAGATCGCTAGGAATATTGCCAAGAAGGCTAAATTTCTATGAGTCTGTCCTACCTTGTAACTGAGGAATGAAGGAAAAAAAAGCCATTCCTGCCTCCTTTCATGTCTACAGGTAAATGGGCTTCTGCTCTAAAAGCCAGGGGGATGGGTGGGCAGGGTCGGGAAGGAAGAAGGCAGCAGCAGAGGAGGAATAATAATAGTTCTCAAATAAACCGATGCTTCTGAAAATTAATGCGGGCAACAAAAAAGCTTCTATAGTTTACATTGGAAGTGTTGAGCCTGCCCCTGGAGTCAGCTGGTCTAATGATAACATGAAGGATTGGAGGTATGTGGTTCCTCTCTTCTGCGTCCTCTTTCAAGGAAAGTCAAGTTCAAACTGCGAAGGGTAGAACTGCATAATTAAAAGATAGTTGTCTCCTTATCAAGGGGATGGGATTTAAGACGGTACAGAGTTAATTTAAATGGGTTGTTCATTATCCCTGATTTTAGACATCATAATGCTTTTTATACTTCAGGAAGCATCTCATTATATACACCCACACACATATATTTATATATTTGTTTATAAATATAAATATATATTTTTATATATAATGTGGTAGGGTGTTTTCCTCTGAAAACCAGTTATTAAATACAGTTGGCCATCTGTATCCATACGTTCCATATCCACAGGTTCCGCATCTGCGTATTTAACCAACTATGGATGGAAAAATAGGGGATGTTATGTTGCTGATATGTATTGTGCAGTTAGGCCTGTGATGGTTGTCTCTGTACTTAACATGTACTGACGTTCTTGTCATTATTTCCTAAATAATGCAGTAAAACAGCTATTTATATATCTGTATTAAGTATTATTATTATTAATCTAGAGGTGATTTAGGTATACAGGAGGATATGCATACGTTATATCCAAATACTATGCCATTGTATGTAAGAGACGTGTCGTCAGATTTTGGTGTCATGGGACATCAGGAATCAAACTCCTGCAGATACCAAAGGATGACTGAAACTGGTTCATTAGTCTCTTGATGATGTCTTAGAACAGGGGAAGTATTTTTGACTTTGTGGGCCATATAGCCTCTCACAGTTCTGCCACTGTGGCATGGAAACAGCCATGTACGATATGTAAACAAATGAGCATGGCTGTGTTTCAATAAAACTTTATTTGCAAAGGAGGCAACAGGCAGGGTTAGGCCCACAGACAGTAGTTAGAGGACCCCTGTTTTAGAATAAATTGCTAAGTGGGTTGGTTGGTTTGTTTTTCTAGTGAGTATATAAGGAACTGGTGAGAACTCAGAACTAGTTTTGATTTGTGAGAAGAGTTCAGACGATGTCAGTTCTCCATGGTTTTTCAGCAGAGTTACTATTACACAAGATCAAAAGTATGGTTTATTTTGATGTCATTGAGGCATTTTGCAGAACGTTTCAAAAGAAGCTTTGCGAAAATGAGGAGATGTGGGCCGCTGCAGTTAAGCAGTTAACTCTGGTGCCCGTTCTCTTTCAACTGATAAGAAACACTGAGATGACAGTAGAAGAGACCAAGCAGCAAATGAATGCTAAGAAAAACTTAACAGTATCATTTCTTTAAAATACTGTATATATTATCTTTTGAGATAAAAGACTGGCAAACCTAATATAGTAATATATTCTGATAATAAATTACCCCAACTTGTATGATGGAATTTCATATATTAAAATCATAACTATGTTTCTCAAAGAGCACCATAATTTTCTACTGCTTTATTGCTGAAAAAAAGTTTATGAACCTTAAGTAGTAATCTGCTCAGTACAGTACTCGCTCCTTGGTCCTGAAATGCTCTGCATTTTTAATCAGTGAATTTAATCATATGAGGGCAAATTAAATTTTTGATAAGTCAAACCTCATCTCCATACCAGGTTCCTAATAACTAATAAGCATTCAGTTGGAACATTTAAATTAAAGACCGTCTCTTCCTAGCTCCGTGTAAAGCTTTGTGGACAACACAGTGTAGAGTAAGCCCTTCGTGTCCCGCAGTTTTTGGCAAGTGGACATTTTGACCCACCAATAATTAAGTCAGCACTAAACCAAAAATTCCTCAGGACCAAAAGCTGTAGTCACAAAATCTATATACTTTCCTAAGACTCAGACACATTCGATTTTATAGTACTTATTCACATTTCCCAGAAAACGCTAATTCTAATCTAAAACGTAATATAAAAAAGAGGGGGAAAATCAATCTGTGATTAGTGGGTCAAAGATAACATGGGGCAGCAGAAGCAGGTGTAATTGAATAAAAGTGGGTCATCTGGGACTCAGTACTACATGGGACAGAAAGCCAGCCTCAAACTGACCTAAAAATAAAAAAAGAGAAGGGTGGGGGGGAGAAGAGGAAGGAGATTCTTAGCAATATATCAGCTTCTGTAACTGAAAAGTCCAGAACTCTGGCTAGTTCCTAATGATACAAAGTATTGTCACCAAATGCAAGTACCTGGTTTCTCTCTGGTGTTAGCCTCACCCTCGGTTTCACACTGTGACCTCCAGCCCCTCTAGGACCTTCCCATTATGTCGGCAAAACACCCGTGGCAACGCATACCCTCATAGCTTGTTATCCAGGAAAAGGAGAGAGCTGCCCTGGCAGGAGCACCTATGGATGAGAAAGAAAACTTCTTTTCCCAAAAGCGCCAGAGAATATCATTTACTCTCATAGGCTCTGATTAGCTTATATGCCATTTTCTGAACCTGTCCTTGGCCACCCCCACAGCTGAAGGTGGTATCAACTCCACCCAGACTCGTAAGAATCGGGGAGGGGCTGTTTTCTCAAATGAGAATTCAAGTCCTGCTCCCAGAATGGAGGGGTGTAAAATACTGGGCAACAAACAGCTATCTACTAGCTGTGGGAAGTGACATCATAGAAGAGAGCACCAAAGAGGAGATGGTGGGTGTTCCAGATAAAAGAGCACAGCAATCTAATGCCTTTACATATTTCCATAGCTTTTAGAGCATCGCTGAAATGGTGATAATGCATCCCTGATATTCACAGGGATGCACCTAAAACAACTAGGAAAGGTTCAATTATGTTTGATGTTCTAAGACAGGGAAGAAGTTAATGGACATTGGAAAGGTTAGTATGTATTTTAATAAATATCAGTGTTTTTAAAGGATTGAAACTAAGCCAACTGAAAAGTTTTTTTGACCACATCAGATAATTTTTTAAATAGCTCATATTTTCTTGTGCTTGATCTTAATCTGTACCTCACCAAAACCATGGGCTTAACTGTGAAATATTTTTACAGCCTATGCTTAATTATGCTTGGTTTCTAACTTAACAAAGTACGGTTGTGTTTATTGATGAAAACATCATTTTTGCTTTTGTCCAGAACGCATACACAGCCACAGCTATCAACAGCACCAACTTCTGCACCTCAGCGAAGGATGCCTTTGTCATTCTCGTGGAGAATGCTTTGCGAGTGGCTGCCATCAACACAGTGGGGGATTTCATGTTATTCCTAGGCAAGGTAAGACCAAGTATATTATCTGAGAAATACAGTAAGTGGTTGCATATATATATTTGTTATTTAATTTCAAAAACATCTAGCCCACCAGAAAACTAATAATGTAATGTAATATATAGCAAGCACTTACAAAGCTCTTAATATGTGTGAAGCACTTTTCCAAGTACTTTACAGGTATTATCCTCATTTAATCCTCACAACAAATTTGTAAAGGAAGATCTACTGTTATCTTCATTTTACAGATGGGGAAGCTGGGGCACAGGGTGGTTAAGTGTAACTTGCCTATATTTCTGCTTACATATTTTGAACTGTAAAGAATTAAGTAACAGCCTGGGTAGTGGTTAGGGGTCCTGCATCTACACATTGACTACCTGGATTTAAATCCTGCCTCTTTCACTGACTAGCTGTGTGGCCCGAGTCAGGGTACGTAACCTCTCTGTGCCTCAGTTTACTTATTTATAAATTTGGGGTAATAATAATGCCAAACCCTTAGGGTTGTGAGGATTAAACTGGTTAATACATGTAGTATACCTAAGACATTATTTATTACATTATAAGTTCTTGATGAATGTTAGCTGTCATCGCTATTGTATATAAACCATTTTAAAATAGAGCTATTGGGGAGTGAGACTTAAACGTCCTTAAAAGTGTCTGAGAAGCGGTAATTTATTCTATACTGCTATTAAAATCTGCAAAATAATAAATAACATTATAATTGGATTTTATTTTATCTGTATTTCAAAGCATAAAATACTAAAAAAATTTCAGTTAAGAAAAAGACACCACTGCTATAATCTAATAACTTATCAATGTTATATATTCCCTCCCAGTATTTTCTTGTAGGCTTATATTTCTACGGTATAACAATCATAGCATACATACCTGTTTGTTCTGCCCTTTTCCCTTCATATTATATCATACACATTTTTAATACTGCTTTGATAATCTTCATAATTACTCATTGTCGTGATCGTCAATATTTCATCAAATGCTGGGGGTTTTTAAATATATTTTATTGATTATGCTATTACAATTGTCACAATTTTTCCCCCTTTGCCCTCCTCCACCCAGTACCCCCCATTCCCTTCAGCAATCCCCCCTTTAGTTCATGTCCATGGAACGTGCATGTAAGTTCTTTGGCTTCTCTATTTCCTATACTTTTCTTAACATCCCTCTGCTCTTTTGTACCTACCAATTTGTACTTAGTATTCCCTGCACCTTTTTCCCCTGTATCCCCCTTTCCTTTCCCAACTGATACCCCTCCACATGATTTCCATTTCTGTGATTCTGTTCGTTCTGGTGGTTTACTTAGTTGGTTTTTTAGATTCAATTGTTGATAGATATGTATTTGTTGCCATTTAATTGTTCATAGCTTTGATTTCCTTCTTTTTCTTAAATAAGTCCCTTTAATATTTCATATAACAATGGCATGTGATGATGAATTCCTTTAGCTTTACCTTGTTTGGGAATCACTTTATCTGCCCTTCCATTCTAAATGATAGCTTTGCTGGATAGAGTAATCTAGGTTTTAGGTCCTCATTTTTCGTCACTTTGAATACTTCTTGCCGGTCCTTTCTAGCCTGCAAAGTTTCTTTTGAGAAATCAGCTGACGGTCTTATGGGAGCTCTTGGAGGTAACTGTGCTTTTCTCTTGCTGCTTTTAAGATTCTCTCTTTAAGAGTTCGCATTTTAATTACGATGTGCCTTGGTGTGGTCCTCTTTGGGTCCATCTTGTTTGGAACTCTCTGTGCTTCCTGGACTTGTGTGTTTATTTCCTTCACCAAACTAGTGAAGTTTTCTTTCATTATTTTTTCTAATAAGTTTTCAATTTCTTGCTCTTTCCCTTCCCCTTCTAGCACCCCTATGATTCAGATGTTGGTAATTTTGAAGATGTCCCAGATGCTCCTTAGCCTATCCTTGTTGTTTTTTTATTCTTTTTTCTTCTTGTCATCCTGATTCAATGTTTTTTCCTTCTTTATGTTCCAGATCATTGATTTGATCCTCACCTTCATCCTCTCCACTGTTGGTTCTCTGTAAATTTTTCTTTATTTCACTTACTATAACCTTCATGTCTGACTGGATCTTTTTTATGCTGTTGAGGTCCTCACTAAGTTCCTTGAGAAACCTTATAACCAGTGTTTTAAACTCTGCATCTGATAGATTGCTTACCTCCATTTTGTTTAATTCTTTTTCTGGAATTTTGTTCTGTTCTTTCAACTGGGTCATATTACTTTGTTTCCTTATTTTGGCAGCCACCCTGTGTTTGTTTCTGTGTATTAGGTAGAGCTGTTTTGACTCCGTGTCTTAGTCGCATGGTCTGTTGTAGAGAAGTGCACCTGTATGTTGGATGGAACAGAACCTTAGGTAATTGCCAGGGCAGAGCAACCCGAGTTGCTGCCGTGTGGCTCTGTGTAGGGGAGAGCTCACAGAGGGGACAATGCCACTGCCTGGCCTCTGGGGTTTTGTCCGGAAGGAAGCTGTCTCCCAGCGCTTGCCCTGATGCCAGCCACTTCAGTTTCTCACCGTATGCCACTGGTGCTCTTCCAGCTGTTGCCCTGGTGCTCGATCCCAGAGGGGGTGGGTCTGTGTAAGTCCTAAGTCCACTGTGGGCCCTTGTAGAGGAGACTCCTGAGAATCCCACAGTTTCTTCACTGCCCCAACCCCACTGCTTTTTACAGCCAGAAGTTATGGGGACTTACTTCCTGATGCTGGCACCCTGGGCTCAGTAGTCTGGTGTGGGCCTGGGGTCCCTCACTTCTGAGGTAGCCCTCTTAATTTTTATCCACTGCATGTGGGTATGAGATTGCCCGCTCTGTGTCTCTGCGTATCACCACGAATCACTGCCCATCTCCACGTCTCCTCCCCTCCTTCTATCTGGATGAATGTAGCTTCTTTAGTTCCTTGGTTGTCAGACTTCCCTACAGCTTGATTTTCTGATGATTCTGGATGATACTTATTTTGTATTCTAGTTGTAATTTTTGTTGTGGTTGTACAAGGAGGCACCTCCATCTTGACCAGAATCAAATGCTATTCTTGAATATTCTCTTACTGCCCAATACTTAGGTTACTCCAGCCATTGTGCTTTTAAAATGTTTTTGAAAGGAAAAAATATTTGGTATAAAAAGGCAATGATAGCACCGTGTGTTTTTAAGTTCTTAAGCAACTGTCTAAAAAAAATTCTGAAACTGTACAGATAGTTATTTGGAAAATTTATAATTAAACTTACATTATGACTGTTGGATTTGTTTTGTCATGTCTTTACAGTAAGAAGTATTTTTCATAGTAAGGATTGAATGAATTAATCCATGCTAAAGGCTGATGAGTACAGTGCCTGGCACTTATTAACTTAATGTTATTTATATATTCTATGCTAATTTATATGCTATATGACTAATTCTGGAAGGCTTCACATTTTTGTGTTTATTTTTTAAATATTTATAATTTATCCCTACTGCTAAGAAAGATCTGAAGCAACTTAAAAACATATATACACAGAGCAAAAAAACATAAAAGGGAAATTATAAGCCATATAGAGAAATAAATTATATGAAGGGAGAAAATTATACTAAATGGCGACATTTGATCACGATGGTGATTTTAGTAAACTCTGATTGAGACCCTTGCTGGGTGTCAGGTACTGAGGGAAGTGCTTTATGGGAAGGGTTATATTTGGCCTCCCCTGTAAGGTGATCTGTTATTATTATCTTCATTTATGCAGATGAAACCAAAGTGTAGACAGCTGAGCAGGTTGCCCAAATTTAGAGATTTAGACTATGTCAGCACTGGAGTTCAAACTCAGGTCCGTCTGCCTTGTATGTTTTTAATCACTATGTGCTATAATCACTTCAACTGACATTAACTTTATACTTAGACCTTTTTTTTTTTTAAGTCTTTTGATCCAGTAATCCTAATGATTGGTAACCACTGCTAAAAAATAATTTTAAATACAGAAAAATACAGCATCATTTATAACAGTAATCAATTGTAAACAGTCGTCTGCCTAACCATAGAGAAATGGTTGGAAATAATAGTCAACAGACTATTATTCACCTAGTAAATCATGTTTTTTATTAAGAGTTTATAATGTGATAATGCATATAATACAGTAAGTGAAAATGCTGAGTAAAACTGCTAGACTGTAACAATATTGTTTTTAAATGTGCATAAGAAAATGAAAATTAACCCCTCCCCCTATTTTATAATAATAAGATAAAGTTCTGTATATTAAGTATGTATTCATTTTATAATGGAAAATATATAGAGATGATAAAATACTATGTTTTAAAATTGGCTTTGAGTTTTTCAGCAGCCTAGTAACCTATCTGTCTAAATTTTTTCTTTAGGTTTATCATGATCTTTTTTTTTATTCATTCAACAAATATTTATAATAATGTCCTAGGGACTATTCTGGGTGTTGGTCATATACTAGTTAGTAAAGAGAATTTAAAATCCACTAGAAAAGGCAGTTTTATATTCCTCTTTTCATTTCATGGTATGAACATTTCCTGTTTTATTAAATATGTTGTAAATATGGTTATATAATTATTGTATCATTTTTTTAACCAAGCCCCTGGGGTTTCTTTCACAGTTAAATCGTTTTTCTTTTTTACTAAAATAAAGTATGCTCTAGTGAAACCTTTGTATACAAATCCTTGTCCACATCACTACTCATTTCCTGAGGCCAGAACCCTAGACGTGGAATTAATGAGTCAGAGTACATAATAAGGTTCTTGATCTGCATTCCCAAGTTGCTTTATATAAATTTGAATAATATAATTATAATATTGTAAAATAGTTACTTAAAACCATGGAAGATAAACATTTTTTAATCAAGAAATCCAAAAAAGGAGAAAAATAAGAAGAAGAATCTTCTGGGTTTCCAACATACTAAGATAAATTCTGCAGTTCTCCTTTTTTAAAAGTATAGTTCTGATCATAGAATAGAGGAAATCTTTTTGAAATGAGTTTCTTTCATTACAATTAAGTGGCTGCTAGTGTGCAGAAATAGTTACTGATCAGGTAGTTCAGCTAGGTAGATCATAATAAGAGACAGTGTCAGGAAGGAACTACTGACATGCACAATGACTTGGGTGAATCTTGAGGTTAATTTGGTGAGTGAAACATGCCAATCTCAGAAGATGAAATACTATATGATTCCATTTATATAACATTCATGAAATGACAACATTATGGACATGGAGAACAGATCTGTGGTCGCCCAATTAGAGATGGGGTTGGGAGGATGCAGAGGTAACTACGAAAGGTTAAAGGGAAGGATCCTTGTGACAATAGAAATGGTCTGTATCTTGGCTGTGTCATTGTTAATGCCCTGGCTGCGATACTGTTCTATAGTTTTACATGATGTTGTCCTTGAAGGAAACTGGGTAAAGCGTACATGGGATCATTCTTTGTTATTTCTTACAACTGCCTGCAAATTCACAGTTATTTCAAATATTATAATTTAACTTTAAAACCCTGAATTGAAAAAAAAAAATACAAAAGACAATGTCCTGGATTCCATTTCTGTGGGGCTTAATGGTTTCACAGAATGGTAAATTATATTTGGAAGGGACCTTAGCTCCTCTGGTTTAGTGGCTTGTGTGTTGTGATCACGGACTTAGAGTCCTCAAAGGTAAGACTTAAGTCTAATAGATACTGCAAATTTTCCCCAGTAAAGCTATATGAAAGAACTAAAATCTCAGGTTTCTTTACTTCTATGTGAAATTATTTTTACCTCTATTTTAAAATACTTTTTCTAATAATGATTATATACTCCAGTTGGCAGTTTACTTGGCTTTGAACTAACACAAATAAGAATATGAATTGTTACTTGTAAATGCTATTTTATTGATAAACTAAATCTTTCAAAACAGGAGTTCCACGGGGAAAGGGTCCCCTAAATGCAAGATTTATGGTGGCAAAAATAAAGGAAGATTGCCAGGCACTGTGGTAATGCTTTTAGAGCACTTACCAGTTAGGGGATGTGTTATGTCTCTTTTAAAGATGGAATAAATGGCTCAGAAGGGGTACATGAACTACTTAGAGTCACACAGCTAAGAAGTACTAACTCTGATTCAAAGCTACATCTTCCTGACATCAAAACTAGAATCTTCTCCTTCCTCCTTCTCACATCCTACCCTGTGTATGAATCTCTTCTAGTATATCACTAATAATGTATCCTATAGAACAAAAGTATCTGAACTTTAAAAATCAGGCATCTTATTACAGAAAAATTGTGCACATACTCCTAATATATTTACACTTATTTATTAATGATATATATAGCCTTTGCAAATGCATGCATTATAAAGTGTAGTATGAAAAGAAAATTTAAATACATGAGAACTGCGAGTAGCGGTCCCCGGTGATTGTCTTGAACACTACCCCAGGTAGGTGTGCTCTACGACAGAGATCACTGGTACAGACCAGTACTTCTTATAGGCTGTGGACTGTATTAGAAGCACCTGAGGCACTTTTAATGAATATTGCTGGGCTTAGATCCAACCAATCAGACTCTGTGGGGGCAGGGCCTGGGAATCTGCATTATTCACAAACCGCCCCCCCCAAGTGATTTCTAACCCTTCTAAGAGTTTCAGACTCATGTATTCTTGGCTTGAATAAATGTATGACACCCTTTCATTATATTTGGGAGTAATTATTACACTTATTTGACTTTTTTGCCTAAATATTACTAATTCTTCACGTTGTTTCCATTTATTTTTTATTTTTTTATCATTTTTTTACTGTTATTCTGTTACAGTTGTCCCAGTTTTCCCCCCCTTGCCCTCTTCTGCCCATTCCGTCTCCCACTCCCACAGTCAGTGTCCACACTGTTGTCCGTGTCCATGGGTCATTCATACATGTTCTTTGACTAGTCCCTTCCCCTTCTTTCCACCATTGTCCCCTTCCTTCCTCCTCTCTGGTCACTGTCTGCCTCTTCCAGGTTTCCATGCCGGTGGTTCTATTTTGTTCATTAGTTTATTTTGTTCATTAGATTCTACTTCTCAGTGAGACCATTTGTCTTTCACTGACTGGCTTATTTCACTTAGCATGATTTTGAAATTGTTTCTCATGTGACAATTACCTGTCTTCCACCTCAACAGCTTTTCTGTCAACATCTAGTTTTTCTCAGCTACACCTTCTACTTGTATTTAACTTTAACATTCCAAATGTGGTTCAGCTTTCAGTGGCATAGTGAAAGCATGAAGAACTCAGTCTTTCCATTGGGTGGATATTAAACATTTGAATAAGAGTATAAGAAATAACTCATTCTAAATTAGCAACCAATAGAGTAGAAAATGAATGTGGTAAGCTCTCTATGGAAATCACCTCAGAAAAGTCACTAACAGAGAAGAGTCATAAGAGTTGACCACAAAAATGGTGTGTTGAGCAGGGGGGAAATCTTCCAAATCCTGAACAGATCCAGATTTGCCCCCTAAAATCATCTGACAGAAGGATCAATTTAACCACTGCTTAACCAGTATATCATGTAATGCGTTGTAAGTCCTGGCTAAGTGAATGGTGAATGAGAGATGCTTTGGTGTTGATAAATAGTAAAGATAACAAAAGAATAATTCTCAGGCTAACCGTCCTCAGCATTGGACAAGGAAAGGCTGAAATAGTTCTAGAGGACTCTTTTCCTTTGTTATTTAGAGCTGGATGCTAGGCCAAGTAAAGGGCTGGACAGGAGTGTGCCCGGGATTCAGTATAACCTTTTGCTGCTTTGATGTCAGTATCCAAGTATTTGCTGAGTTTTTACCTGGAAAGAGCACCTAAGTTGGCATCATAAGACCATTATTTGAATGGTATCTGCTCTTCAGCATTGTGACCTTGGGCAGGTTGGCTGGCTAGCATGTTTCCCAGTCTATAAAGAGGATGATAATGTTTTCCATAAACCTATCATCGGGTTATTGAAAAGTTGAAATAAAGTGTCCCAAAAGAACCACAAAAAATGCGAAGTGCTTCCTATGAGGTGATGAAGCATCAGAGTAGGTAGTTCTTGACAATAATCAAATTGGTTATTTCTTTTATTCTTATGGAAGTTTTTGGCAATCCCTTTCCTCACAGATGGTCCAAGTCTAAACATCATGGCAAATTATATTAAATTTGCCCCATATTCTATTTGAAATAAAATATGAAATAAAGTAAAAGCCCTTAGAGATGTTTGTTGCAGCATTCTTTATATCTGAAAATAAGTCTCCCACTGAAGGAGAATGGTTAAATAAATTTTAAATCACCCGTAAAATGAAATTATGTAGGTGAATAAGTATTTATGCAGCATTTAAAATGATACTATAAATATTAATGAAGAGCTTTTAATGATTTGTTTATACAGTACTATTTCATAAATGTAAGAATGCTTTGGAAAAACTCCATAGCAATACCCTGAAATGTCAGTAATTTTCTTTTGAGGGCTAAGAATATGCATATTTTTTTAAAAAATATGTGTACACTTAAGAATTGCCACAGGTGCTAATAAGGGAAGCTTTAGGTAACAAGCATAACATTTGGAAAACTTGATTATTTTTAATGTCAACAAGGATTTTTAAAATTTCTATTATATGATTACATATGTGTGACTCTATATTATATATATGGATTATACTTAGCAGTTTGAGATGGAATACTCATATGACCATCGTATGTTAGTAGTAAAAAGAATTTTAATACGCAGAAGGCGAAGAAGCAGTGGTTTTCCATAGTAGGGTATTCAATGTGGTCTTTGTTCTCTCTGCTTCAGGTGCTGATAGTCTGCAGCACAGGCTTGGCTGGGATTATGCTGCTCAACCACCAGCAAGATTACACAGTGTGGGTGCTGCCTCTGATCATCGTCTGCCTCTTTGCTTTCCTCGTTGCTCATTGCTTCCTGTCCATTTATGAAATGGTAGTGGATGTGTTATTCTTGTGTTTTGCCATTGATACAAAATACAATGATGGGAGTCCTGGCAGAGAATTCTATATGGATAAAGTACTGATGGTAAGTATTTCAAATACTCTCTACGGCTTTCGGGATAAAAATAATAATAGAAGGAAATCTGTCACACTCATGAATGAGGTTAGTCTTGGGGAAATCAGGGGAGAAGGCCCTCTTACCATGCATGTCACCGTTTTAAACCCGCCTCCCTGGAGGAATACCTTTTAATAGACTTGAGTTCACACTATCCATACTGCTGCCCGCCTCTCTGCAGTCAGATGGATTTGAATCAACTTTTTAGACCTGGCTTTTAGTCTTTCCGTTAGACCCTGGGGCCATTGATGTTCTCAGTGCACTTTCCTTAAGTGGGGCTCAAAGACAAAAAGTCTTATTTCCCAGATTGTAGTTAGTACCTACCTGTGTTTCTTTATCTACCACCTTTCCAAGTATTATTGCTGTCAACCCCATTAAAACTCATTATCTTAAATATGGCAGGCCAAATTAAAGACATTTTGTAATGAATACAGATCAACAGACCTGTGACTGGTAGATTGTATTGTTTTACACTATTCCAGATCTGAACCTTTACATGGGTATTATGTTCAAATTCTTTACAGTTATGTGGCCTCTGCAGTTTCCCTATATTAGGACCTCAAACTTTTTAAAAATTAAAAAAACTATATTAATATGGTTTAAATACTATCATCATCAGTGTTCAATACTACAAAATTAAAGACACTTTTTAATAATAGTATGTGTCTATTAACCTGTGAAATACTCCTATCTTAAAAGTAGATAACATTGAAGACTAAATATTAGATATTGAAAAATTTTATCTTCAGGAACATGGATTTAAATTGAATTTATTTATTTAAAATAATGTGTTAATAAATAGATTAGATTCTTCTTTTTTTCAACTGCAAAAATACCAAATGAGTTAACCGACCTGTTTGGTACTAACACATCATCAACTAAATTTTGGACATTTTCAGAATGTCTAAATTATAATTCTGATTATTTTCATAATGGAATTTGGTCTATGATAATTACATCTCTTTTGTGATTAAGGCATTTAGGAGAAGAGTGTATTTTTGTTTTTAAGCCACTGATCAAAAGCAGAGTAAAAACTGTAAGACTGATGAGGACTTTCAATGAAGAAGTACTCCATGAACTTTGACAGCATAGAAACACCTCCTTAGGGGCATAATTCATCTTCAGTAGTCCTTACCTTCCTGCTTTATGAAGTAATTTCAAATCCAGATAGACTTTTTTTTTTTAGTAACTTATTTATGGTTTGGTAAAAACAGTATTCTGTGTGCAGTAGTATCAATGCTTTCTTTTACCATGTAGGATTATTTCAAAAAGGAGGCTATGGAGTAAAATGTTCTTCTTGTTCCATTTAACCATGATACAGAAAAAGTAAATCAACAAATAAAACTACATTCTAAGTGTGGGAAAGTAGTCTTTTTTTTTTTTAAGTTAGGTATTTTCTCTTTGGGCCAAAACTAGAACTGACATTATCTCTTAACATTATAAGTAAGATTGTCTCCATGAATGGATGGAGAAAAAATTTTCTGTCAACAGATTGCATTTTATTCCCACAAATTTAACACCTCTTATGTCTGATACTGAATGTGTTTATTGCTATGGTCTTAAGCCATCCATTTACCAGTATTACATTTGATCTTAGCCAAAAGGCCAAGAAGCGACTCCATTTACCAATTTTGAGCCAAATATGTGAATGTTCTTTAGAATGTCTCTACCAACCGAAATGCGAAAGGACCTAAGAATTTGTGCCATTTGGTCCCTGTTTTGCAGGAGTTTGTGGAAAACAGTAGGAAAGCAATGAAAGAAGCTGGTAAGGGAGGCGTTGCCGATGCCAGAGAGCTAAAACCGATGGTAGGTGGGGATGAGGAGGTGGCCTCCCTCCAAGAATTTCACTTTCACTTCCTCTCTCTCTCTGTCTTCACTGACTGCACTTCTTCCGGAGAAGCTTTTGTTATCTGTATTACGCAGGACATGCTGCTCTTTCTGTTTGTGTGTTTACCCATCACTTGGATGGCTGAATTTTTATCACAACTGAGACCACCTTCTGTAAAAGTAAGCTGAAAGGAACACAGCATTGTCACAATGAAGAGTGGTCACGGCAGCGTAGGGGATATTCTTGTCCCTAAGGTGAAATTGCTGTTTCTTTCTTTTTTTTTTTTTTTTCCTTTTCTTTTTAACTGTCAGTGGTTAGTTTTCATTGGGCTGAACGTTTGGTTGTGCACTTGAAGGGACAGTTTGACTTTTATCATTTGGAAGGTGATAATAGCAATTCCTTTCAACTTGCTAAAATCCATATTCCTTCATTTTTTAGTATTGGTTTGTTCATGTTGCTGTCTTTTCCCCTTTGCTGACTTTTTCTTACGTTGCCTGGATTGTACTCTTTGTTTCTTAAGCTATTTTTCAGTAACCAACAAGTCTGTTTTCATCAACACCCACATTTCCCACTAAATAAGACAACCTGGTCTTCTCCAACTTCAGCTGATTTGTGAGAAGGATAAATTACCTCTGGTCAGTGACACATATATTCTACTTTTACTTAAAAAAAAAGAACAACTTCTCAGCGTAGGTGAATCCTGAGCTGCTTTCCCATAGATGTCTCATCTCTGCCTAACAGCAGATGTCTCTAGCATATACTCATCTACTTACTACTTATTTTAAAAATGTATTGTTTTTAAATGGCATGTTTATTTAAAAATATTACATAATTGCCTATCTCCTTAAACAGTTCATTTTAAATACTGTGCCTTCCAATTGCATATAATGTCCAAAAGTGTGAGGTAAAGACTTTCTTTTCTTCTTTATACTTTCATAAATGGTTTGATTAATAGTTTTCCAACTTAAGAAATATATAGAACAAGCCCACTTAAGTATTTACGAGTAAAGGGAATGGGTTCATTTAAGGAGAGTGGGGGAGACTATATATGTATATGGAAAATAATTGCATGTTTAACCTAAATTAGAGTCTCAGCAGAATGTTTAGATATAAACTCTTTCTTCTGTAAACCCCTTCCAGTACCTATTTTGGTGATGCTCTTAATAGCTTTGATGATAATAAAGTAAAATATCAGTGTTAAGATTCCCAAGGCACAGATGACTCTAATCATAAGTAAAAAAAAAATGTAGACAATGGTTATATGACTCTTAGTTTAAATGGGCATTAGCCAGACCTGGATTGAGTGAGCAAGGGACGCCAGTGAGCAGTCCCTCCGGTCAGGTGCCTTGCCTCCTGCCCCTTCTTTCTGAACCCCTCTTACTTCATGCAGGCCAAGGGGGCAGGGTTGAAGGATCTGCCAGCTCTATGGTGGCGTCGGAAAAAGTGAAGAAGACTCCTTTCTTGCCACTGTTTCATTGTCTTAATTATTCAGGAAATAAGGTTCCAAGCCTGAGACTTAAAAAAGATAGAGAAAATCTTAAAATGTCAACCATCCTTTCCCCCTTTCTTTTCTGTCTTTCCAGTGGTTGAAACTTCCATTAAATTGCCATGCAGTAATAGGCATTTAAAGAAAGGGAGAAATATTTAGAGATTTAGGACTGACTAGTTTGACCATGAATTGGCATGTAGTTCTGTATTCTAAAGACAGAGATAGATGGATTGTGGTAAACCAGAATGGAAGTATACATTCTCTTACCTAAACCCCTAATTCATAATTAATAATACCAGGAGAATTGCCCAGGTTAGGTGGCATTCTATCAGAAGCCAAAAAATTGAGGAAGATTTTTATTGCTCTCAGTTTTAAATTAATGTCCCTTAATTCATATAATGCATTAAAATCTTCATTCAGCCTTCGCTTTTATTTTTTTGCTGTTCATCAGTTCATTGCTTGCCAATTGATGGCAGGTCCCCAAATACCTCTTCTGTGTGCATTGTTCTTCTGGTGCTTTGGACATTGTATAGAGTTTGGCCCCTAAATATGATGTTTTAAGCGGTTAAAAAACTTGTCAGGAGAGAAGGGTGAAATGTTGCTCACAAGGTAGTTAAGTTTTTTAAGCACATGGTGTCCAATTCTTACCTCTTTTCTACGGCATGCGTGGTGAGAGGTGACCCGTACTGCCGCCACCATCGTATGCGTGTCCCTAAAGAGTTATCTGAGGAACTCCCCGCTGACGTTTGGGAACTGGTAGAATTTAGTATTGCTTCTGTAGTATTTATTTGCCTGGTTTAATTCACATTATTCCTTTAGATGAAAGTTCTTTAAAGTGTGTCATACCTAGTTTGCGTATCTGTAGAAACACTGCTGTTTGAGTTCACCGTCTCTCTTCCCCCTTAATGGGATATTTTAATTTAAGGTTTATTTTTAGCCTATAAAATAATGTTCAAGAAAATGAGGTTTTAAATTTTCCTTTTGACAGGGGGATCATTGAACTGGATATAAATACTCCCAGTTCTCCTCTTGGACTTTTTCTTTTTTTTTTTTTTTTTTTTTTTTTTTGAGAGAGAGGTCGATCCTATTAGTTAAGAAAACTTTAAAGGCTTGTGAGGTTTCTCTCTAAATCTTTGGAAATGATTTAGAAAAATTTACCAAATGTGATAAAGAGGTTTAAGAAAGAGACATCTGGCCACCTACTTGTACAGGAAATAATCTACAGAGGAAAGGGAGAGAACACCTGGGCACTATAGCAACATAGACCAGAGAAGTACTCTAAGCATATCTCAAAGCTTATCCAAACTAGCCAACATCCATACAAATTTCAGCCCCTGGAATATAGTTTCCGGGGAGAAGGATTCTCAGTTCATTTCGCCTCGTTGCTGTTTGTGACAGTCCATCTATGCATTTGTAACATCGTTCATGATCTTCTTCTAATGGTAATTGTCTAAGATTGTACTCTGTATGACTTTGTTTTCTAGGCTTCGGGAGCAAGTTCTGCTTGAACCTAGCCGACCGTATGGAACCCATTGACATTCCAAAACAATATATACACATAACTATGTATTTGTGTGTGTGGGTGTGTGTATATATGTATATGTATGTGTGTATATATGTATATGTATATACACACACACACATAATCAGCCAAAATCAGAGAAAAGGAACAGGGATTTAATACCTTTTTTATGCTTATTTTTGTCAAACATGTACTCCTTTCATACGGGTGGCTTTTACAAGGCAACTGCCGTCATTTAATGTTTTCAATTGTAATTGTCTTAATGGAAATGTTAAGATTCATATCTGATTAACATTTTTAATAACTTAGAGGAGATTTTTAACTTTAGTTATTTAAATTAGGTAAAATTATTGTACCGAATTCTCTGTCTAAAGTTGATTCAGGGGTGATTTCCCTGATGTGTACATAAAATCAAGATCTTATTTCACTGATGCATAAGTACTAGTGGAATGAGACTAGGCATATGCTGTCAGAGAAATAAGGAATTACTCCAATCAGTTTTCCCCAATCAAAGAAGCCATGTCATTTTATTTTTCAAAACATACAAGTGGACCCAATATGGGAAGTTTCATAATCGCTCATGCATTTGTCAGCCAACATTAAAAAGTAACCAACTCCTCAGGTATTTGTAGTTTACCCTAATGCTTCTATAAGAGAGTAGGTGAAAAAGAAAAGGGTAGATAATCTTTCTTATGCAAACTTTTTTCTTATGGTTTGTCTTTCATTTTTGACTTTAGTCGCATCTTTCACACATGTTGTGCCTGGTTTGAAAGGAAGCTGGAGCACCCAATGAGCATAGCCTTTAAGTTCCCGTGTATTGATTTGCAGATGAAGTAATTGCTGGGCGGGATGAAGAAGGGAGAGAAACGTGGAACACAGAGCATTGAAAAGCCCAGTGATGGGCTCCTGCTCCAGAGGGACAGGTGTGACTTAGGGCTAAGGAGCCATTTTATTCAAACGCTTGCTGTAAAACCTGAAAACACCCTGGCAGGTGCTCCTCTCCTTGGCAGTTCATCAAGTATCCAGAATTCTACAATGTTTAACTGAAGAATTGGTTAATGTTCTAATCCTCAAGTGTTGAACTTTTTTGTTTGTTTGTTTGTTTGGGGCTGGGTTACGGGTGTTTGTTTTTTTTTTAATGATTATTCCTAAAGCTTACCAGATATGAATGGCTAATATTCCATTGTTCTGCTTATTGTAATGGTGAATGCTTTAAGAAAAAAAAGTGTAATTTGCTAAGAATAATTCATGATCTGTTTATGCGATAACTCCTTTTTGTTACAATTTTTTTAAAAAAGGCTATTTTTGTTAATGTAAAGTAAATATTTCAGAGCAAATTTTTTAAACTTATTGCACTAAATACAGGCTCTGTACAAAAAAAAAAAAGTCTCAGCATTTTATCATTCCATGGAAGGAGAATCTTTTGAAAGAAAGCATTGCTTCCTACCAGAATTAGCGAATTAGACCGGTGTTATGGAAATGCACACAATTAATGTCAGTAGGGCTTACTAAGCAGCTGTTTGCTAATGTGCTTCCTTTCAAAGGGTTGGACCTTTAAATTGCTGCAAAAGGTAAATTGTATTTTTTTTAAGTATCCGTGTTCTTTAGCTAGGCTAAAATATGCTAAATACTTTGGTTTCTTTTCAGAGCTCATGTAATATTTCTGACTTTTCAGAATATTTGCAATAAGAGTCTGAATTTTTTTTTGTTTTGTTTTTTAAAGAAAACACCTAGTTAAGAGCTCATGTCTTGGCAAAACCTGGGAAACCAACATTGTGAGAGTAGCTATTTTGAAACAATAATTCTCCAGAAGTTAACATCTAACACTGACAGACTGTATCATTGTACTCTTTTATATCAGTTGAAAAGAATAAATATAATTATGTAACTAACAATTATCCAAATAGGTGAGAGAGCAAATCATCTGAGAAAATTCAGAATACCTTCTGTTTCCTAGCCACACAGATTTTGGACATTAAGAAACATTGAGAACTAAATTTAGGATTGACAAAAATCTGGAAGATGGGTATCAAAACAGAAGACATTTCCAGGAGCTAGCTATTTTAGGAGGTGTCCCTCCAAAGTGACCTGATGGAAGTCTTGAATTTGGAAATTAGGTTCTCCTCACTTGGACAACCCAACATCATGGACTCTTGCTGCTTCCTGTTCCATATGCTCGCAATCTCAACTATTTGGAAGCCACCAGGAATGCTTTCTAATTATCATTTGCAACTAGAACTGTAATCAGAAAGAAATTTTGTATTTTTGTATAACTTGACTGTGTGCCATTTTATATAACAGGTCCTGTTTTACAAATAAATTTTGTTTTACTAACATTGTGTTTAGAAACTATGATCTATGTGTAACCATGTCATTTGAGTTCCAAATTAATTGCCAGGCTGTTTCCCCTAAGTAAACGTGTGTGCCATATAGGTGGATATGCACAAATATGCCTGTGTTACCCAGGCGCACACAGAGAGATATTTGATATATATAATATCACTCTCATATGAGCTTCATTCTTTGATTCATTTTTTAAAGCCTCACACAGGCTTTTCCTTCTTAGCAGTATTTAAATGTTTGGAGGTTATGTTTGGATATTCCTGCTGCCTCTTTCATCCATGGTACGTCGTTCCTCAGCTAGCTGTGGGCTGGCTGCCTCACTGCTGTTCGCTCATGGCCTCCGTCTTCTGCCCGAGTGAGAAGAATAGATGAAATACAAAAATTGTCTGTGAAATAGGGCTGCCTGGCTAATTTTATAAACCGTTGACTCTGTGTTGTAGTTCTTTGTCATTTTCTGTGATGCATCTTCCAAACTGCATTCGGGGCTCTGAGCTTGATGTCCTCTCCTGCAAGTCATGATCATGGCGGCCACAGTAGTGTTAGGGTTTCTGCCGCCAGATAATTACAGCTCTGCTGCGTGATTTGGAGTTTCTAGGCTCCTGCCTCAAGAGTCAGCTCTGCTGCAAATTAATATGGAAGGGAAAAGGTTACTTTTCTGTGTAAATTTAAGAGATCCATCTTTTTTTTATGAGAAGCTTGCTACTGGTAAACATTAGGAATTTAGGGCATTGAAATTGTATAGTCCTTGCATGGATGAGCAGAGCTCAGAGCAGCTTGTTGCTTTAAACCATTTAATGCAATGCTTAATATTTAGGATGAAAGCTTGTATCCTATCCTATAGCATAATTAAGTCCTAAGTTACTGCAGTTTAAGTGGCTTACCTGTGTGTTGGTCCCAAACTTTCTCCGTAACAATTAAGGAAGAGGCGGTCACTGAGTGTATTAAAAAATTATGCTGGAAGTAAGTTTTTGCTTTGTACAGATGCTTTTGTACTCTTACTTTTTTCTTTCTTTTTCAGCGAAGGGCCTTAGCTGCCAATTCCCAGTACCACTGGCCTTGATATCTGCCAAGGGCTTCCTTGTCTTCCTAGGGCAGTTACAGGACTAGTGAGCAGGTAGCCCCTTCCTTTATCCTCATCTTGAGCTGCTTTAACCCAGAGTAATACTTCTCCCACCCCCTTCCTCAAAACAGCTAAGGGAACTGCAGGTGCCAAATACTTGTCAGGCCATCCCATTGCCCCTGAGGCTTCAACCATTTCCAAGATGCACCACTCATAGCTAATAAAGGCCATTTCAGAAGGTACCCCTCCCCCATCTGCAGAGTAGAATTCTGGGATCAGTTCCCAAACCAGAGCTGCCAATTACAATGACCTGAACATTATTTTATTTTTGGCCAATAACCTTCTCATTTGAATTTTGGGAATTTCCAGTAGCCTTAACATAGCCTCTGAGAAGTTATCTTTGGAAAGGTCTTTAAGCTTTCACCTTTCAGTAAGAAAGTTCTCTACTGCTCTTTTACTGCAACTTGAAAAACACTCCAAGCCTGGAGGCTTATCAGTGTATCTGCCACAGCTAATTTCTGTACTGTTTTCATATATTCCATCTGACAGACAGGAGTGCACTGTAATGGCTTGCCTAAAGTTATGATGTGGTCGTTGAATACATATTGGAGAACTGTGAGTTCAGAAGTAAATGCATAAAGCAGAGATTTGTGTATTATATATTCACAGCATAGAATGCCTTTTGCTTTAAATGCATATTCATGCACCTTGTGCACTAAGGATGGGTGGTAGCCCTTTTGAAAAGTAGGTACTATTCAGATACAGTGGTTGCTTTCGGAATTAGCTCATCTTTGTTCAGTGGCATAGAGCCCAAATTTTGCAAAAGCGGTCTTGACTGTGCCAAGAGAAAATCTAAGGCTAACAAACTTAAAACAAAAAGCTAAACATGTTGTATACACATATAAATTTAAAACAGCGTACTTTTTCCCATTCAGATTTCATCAATTTGAGCCAAAGTTTATTCTCCAAGAGGGAAATTTTAATCCAAGATTTAAATCTTTGAAAGTACCTTTCTTATAAAAAAAGTAATGCGAAGTTTATAAACTTGAGCATTTCTGTGGAAAACCTTTCTTTGCTACAGAAATACCACTCTTCCTCCTCACCTTGATTCCTTTGTGTGTGAAAACAGACAAATGATGCTCCTGTTTCAATGGTGCAGGGCAATTAGCACTTTTGTAAGTTACATGGACAGGATTTAAGTTCGATATTTTACAAAGGAATTCATTAGTAAAATCGTGGAAAATATAAGAAATTGTTAGGGGTCCAAATATTAGGTTATTTTACTCATTTTTGATACTCAGTTTTACAACATAAATGAGTTCCTGAGGACTAAACACTCCAGACTCAAGAGTTCAGAACAGTAAAGTGTTCAGGTTACTCATAGTCTAGTCAAGATCTGGCTGAATATGAAAACCTTGTAGTTCACAAATGTTTCAGAAACTTTTCACTTGTATTTGCTAAAATCTGAATTTAATATTTGATATTCAAAAGCAGGTTCTTAATCTTTTAAGGGGACATGGGTCCCTTTGAGAAGCTTGTGAAGGCAATAGACCACCTGTCCAATGCACATAGCCCATCTATGAACATTTAAAATGCTAATAAGAATTTCACAGCCCTCAGGCTGCCAGCTCTCACCTCCCCTCCTCTCAGGGCCTAATGAGCATAAGTCAAAGGTGTTTCTAAAGTTGGTTTGACAATGTGTTTTGAAATAAGGTAGTGATTAAGCCTCCACCGAAGATATTTTTTAAGATGGTAGCTACCAGCGTCTGACCTGGAGTCATTTTTATAACTAGAAGGCTTTGACTTAGTACTAGCTTTGGAAATAGAAACCACACTAATACGAATGAATAACAAGATTATGAACACTGAATCTTCAAAACAGCATGATTTCTTTCCTTGGAGATGTGAGGGTATAGTTGAAGATGATGATAAATTAGCAAACTCAATGTAGTCTAGCAGTTGATAAAAAAAGTTTTAGTGGAAAATTGGAAGAGCAGATGCTGGGAGTAGGAATTCAAAAGACGTTGTTTTTCTCTCCCGTAAGTCAAGGAGGTGTTCCTGTCTCGACTGTTTTTCAGTCACCACTAGAGCAGACTTGGACTACTGCGAACAGAACTGCGCCTCCACTCCCCACACCCACCCCCCTTCTTTTTGTGGGGAGCACGCAGATTTCTTCCTGTCTGTACCTTATACTAGGAAAGGGTGCCGCATCAACAGGGAGAAGTCTTCGGGGTGAAAGAGCTGGCAGAAATCCTTAAAGGAGTTGGACCTTCTTTTAAGATTTGGGTCATTACTTATGGTCAGACATCAAGCCATTACCTACATTTTCAAGCTTAAGAAAGCAGAGAGAATCCCATCACTGGCTGGTGAAGAAAGGAGAAAAATCAGCTCCCTACCCTCTCGCCCACCCCCAAAAGAGCTTTAATAAACCACCTACCGTAGCGAGTGGAGAGACCACGGGTGGAAATTCCCATATCAGGTGGGGAGGGGCCTAAGTCCAGTGTAAGTATCTACATTTGATGTGTCCTTTTGTGGTAGAAGGGTATGATTTAAAGCAGAACGTCCTGACCTTCACACATGAATCTGATCCACCCATCCCGTCAGTTAGAGAATTCATTTGAGACAGTTATTTTTTGAGGGATATGCATTAAGCCATTCCACGTAAGGAAAGGGAAGCCTTGAAAAGAAGAGGAATACATGGACACAGGTCTGGGGTGACAGTTGCTGCCAGCATCCTGCAGACCATGCCACCTGCCACAGGAATGAGACAAAAGTAAGGCAGCCCTGGGGGCCGATGATGTGAGACAGAGATGGGGTTCCAGTGATCTGTGCTCAGAGCTTCTTTTGGGCCCCACTTGTTTTTGCTAGTTTGATTTCCAGAGAGAGGCATCACGTGGGAAAAGTTGCCTTCTACTACTACGTTGCCTTAGTTGAGGTTTTCTGATTTCTTCCCTCCTATAAATGGGTACCGGGGGCTCCGTAATGAAAAGATGTCTCATTAATGCTATCTCAAAATATTCTTGACTGCTGACTGCCCTTCGAGTTGGTCCTGTAGCCAAGGAAGTCAGTTCAGTGGGTGGTTAGCTGATTTGATTACAGGAGTAAAAAACTGCAACTAACAAACAAAAAGTTGGGATGAAAAGTGTGGAAGGCACCTAACGAAATGTTGGAAGCTCTGGAAAAACAACCAAAGACAAAAGTATATCTTTTGAAGACCAAAGGTCCAACTTTAAATGTTTGCTGGCACAGCCTCTCTGAGCTCCTGGAATTTAGGATCAAGCTCCTAAAATAAGGCAGCCAAGCTTTAATGATCAGTCAGTGCAATAGGGACCTCTCAGGCCTTCATATTCAGTGTCAGGCCCAGCCCAATATACGGGTGATGTGAACAGAAGACACACATCAGTGTCTCTCGATTTCTCACTGCTCTGCAATCTGGCATGAGAAGTGTGTTGTGGTGCCGCGTATTTCTCAGTCTGATGCATTTTTGGTCTTTTTATTTCCCCATGTGCATTCTATTTCATAGTGTCAAAATGAATTTCGTATCATGTCCTGTCTGTCCATTACGAACTGTGGGATCACCATTAAGCTTTCCATGAATTCTATAGTTCGAGACCTTTTATCTTGGCATTATTTTGGGTTTTTCCTGATTGCAGTGTCACTGCACTGTATTCAGATGGGGAAACAAACATGTAGGTGCTTGAACATGCCCCCGGACACGGTCGTAGCTCTAGTATTTGTGATTTGTCATTACTGACGCAGTGCACACTTTACAGACAGAGCAATATGCTCTCAGAGGACTTCAAAAATATGTACATTGAACAATTAGCTTTCTGGAGTTATTGATTCTTGCTGGGAAATTCACTTCCAAGAGCTCTGAATTGGATGGAATTCC